TCCCACCAGATGTTACAATGGGCAGAACTCCTCCTCGTTACGAGCAACGGTTATCACAAATCCGTACATTCGCCTCGTTAAACAGATTTTAAGTCGTTTGCACGTGTGTGTGTAAGTCTTGCCTCCTTACCGTGGCCAAAAGCTGACAGAAAGATCATCGAGACACTGGTGGGGTGGTCGCTCAGTTGCATTTGGCATCTCCGCCATCTCCTCCGTGTGTTGCTGCATGTAGCAGCTGCGTGTGTGTGTAAACTGCCCCGCCCCCTCCCACAGACAGGGGAGAGATCTCGTCTCGATTGGAAAGATCGAAAATACACCGACCATAGACGCATTTGTTTGTCTTTTTGCATGTTAGAAACGAGTTGGCGACACTAAGACTGCGAGATAATGTTTGTGTAGCAATAATACATGACCTTTCTCTTTCTCAACTCGCTACTCGGAGGGAAGTCGCTGTCATATGCCTTGTGAACACTCCGATAATGCCTCTCCACGTTACCTTTCTTTGGCAGAGCGACGCTTGCTTTCCAAATAAGGCAAATAACCTTTGAATGTGACTTCACAAAAAAATATTCTTCCGTATATTTTTAGCTTTTTGCTCGGTCCCGCACCCCTTTTTTTTGTTTGTCTCTTAATTTGAGTTTTCCCGGCACTTGACTGAATTTGTATGGCTTTGCATTCTGGGTTAACAGACTGGAAAGCGATAGGTCACTTTTTCTGTCAATGAAGTAAACTCCTGAATGAAGTGGCAGGGAGGCCAAGGGAGGAGGGATCAAAACCTGTTTTGTCTATTTTAACGGAGCTGGATTTTTTTTTTATGAATGACTCGTGATCTACCAGCATTAAAGTACTGGGCACCTCTGGTCTAGTTAATTATAGTCTAGAAAAACAAGTTAGACAGTAGGCCTACAAGGAGTAGTTTAAAGCTACGGTGTGTAACATGTGTAGCATCTTTCACATGTTTGCTAATGGCTTAGGTCGTGCCCTGGTGGAAATTGGAGGAGTTTGTGTTTAGCCAAAGTTGGACAATTTCAAAGATACACATAGTAGCTTTAAGGGTTGTGTAGAACTATGCATATGAAATGTGAAGAGAGATTCTGCAGTGGCTATAATAAATAATAGTAAATAATGTGGCAAATATCCTTGTTGAAAGAAAGTGTTATTGTTAGAAACAAAGTCAATATTTGTTATACCAGGGTAGTGAGACCGTTTTAGTAATGAGAAAAAGAGTCAGCAAGCTTGGACTTTTTTGCAGTGGAATGTTACTTTTTTTTTTTGTAGAACCAGAAATTTGTATTTTATCTTGGGTTTTGATTCCCTTGCTTCCACTTTGTGATAACAGTGGCTCTGCAGTACCATTTAATCCCACATTTTGTCACACTCATTTATATATACACAAGTGCCCTGTGACATTCAAGCTAGCCAAATAACCAAAATGCTGCTATAATGCTATGTTCACACTAAACAAGAAGATAATATTTTCCTTGCCTTACTTCATATGGCTGTATCAATCTAGTGTGCTACAATTTATTGTGATAGACAGATAAAAAGTTTGGTTTATATAAACCAACTGGCTATTTTTATTATTGATGAAAGGTGCCCACACTACAACCAAGGATGTCTTTCACAGGCACAAACACACATCTTAGCGTTTGATGTGAACACACGCTAACAATGCTTTAATTTCTTGAGTAGCCAGAGCCTTTGCAGATGCCTTTAGAAAATCATTCCCTTCCCGTACAAAAAGTTCAACTCAATAACATCTTACTGAGACAACAAGATGGGGCCGCCATGTTTCTATGCTTCCTTATAAAGCTGTTGATCTTTTTCACTGTATTCTTGTTAAAGTCAGGCTATGTAATTGAACTGTGGCCAATCCCACTACAATTGACAGCGAAGGTATATTGCTAATGCTAGTATTACCTACTGTGAATGCTAAATGGATGGTATTAGCTAAATGATACAAATGCTATTAAAGAGGTTCTATAACTAAAGATAGCGCATTATATTTAGCGCCAATGGTATGACATGTACACTTCCTGTCTCCTAAATAGATGTGGTCTAATATATATTTATTTTATTTTGATATTTACCTATCAAACAAACTATTTAGAATTACGAATATTAGTTAGCTAGGGTGTTAGCGAGAGTCAGTTAGCTTAAAATGTTGACACCGTTTCACTTATGATAAACGCTCAGTGTTGCTGAGATAAAAAAATCTATTAGTCTCAAACTAAGTTTAATTTCATCTAATTTGGCATGCATAAAAACGCCACATAAGTGTCAGAATGCTCTGAATATACGTGGCTTGTGAAAAATGCGCCCTATATATACGTTGACTCTCTGGGAAAACAATCAGTTATAATCTGTGCTCTCGTTCACCTGCTGTTAGTCTACTGCAAATGTGTTGAAACCCAAGTGACACAGGTAGAGGAAATAGTCTCTCTTTCCTGTCTCTGATGCTATATTATGGTTTCACATAATATACTTTTCATTTAGTAGTTCCATTTAGCTCAAATGCTAAGCAATTGTGACAGTAACACATTCATGAAGTGTCGAAACTGACTCCGTAACATAAAACAATAAAAATCCATCTCTCTGTGAGACCTATATTTCATTTAATAATGTGTTCCTTTCACTCAAAGAAAGTATGTCCAAGTTCATAAACGTTTCAAAACATAAAACGACAACGGTAGTTGTAGTTTTGTCTGTCGTAGTACTACAACAAATATATATTTTTCAACTAAATGTTAATTAATGAGCCTGTAATGTGAATTTCGAAGTTTCCACTAGAGAGCGTCACTGGCCGTTTTTTTACTGACAGAACAAAATCAGCATAGGTTTACTGTACGTTATCAAATTACAAGCATTTGGAAGGATTGGAAGTTGTCAAGAGAACTTTCTTTCTGCTTGTGTTGAATAATGCATGGCAAATGTATGCGCAATATTCATGAAATAATCGCTTGTTTTTTAAACTATTTTTGAAAAATGGCGATACCAGTCGTAGAATCCAAGTAAGAGTGAGTTTCTGTCACAACCTGATGATTTTTTGTGTGGCTTTTCTTTTGCCCGTCTTTGACAGTGTAGAAACAGAGACGAGTGGGGAGACAAGGAGGGTTACGACATGCCACAAATGGCCCAAGGCTGGAATGGAACCTGGGACGTTGTGGTCGTCTGTTGGTTTCCCAGGTGGCCTAAGTGGGCTGTCTCATATACTTAATATAGTTTTATAGTTGGCAAAAATTCCTTTTTGGGACATGACCACTAAGTTACAAACGGCTAATAAAAACAAAATCACAAAGGAAAAGTTAAGAGATGACAGTTAAAAGACAGCAGATGACTTTATTCCGTTGCCATTGGCAGGAATCCACTGTTAGAGCCACACTGCCATAATTAAATGCACTGCAACATGATCAGTTTCTAAATGATTAATTAGTTTATTTGTCGTCTTGTATCACATACTGGACAATGCTACTGATTCTGTTAATGGAAAACCTATGCTTGGTGTGCATTAATGTTAGTTTAAGTTGTGAAATTTCTTTGGATGTAAGTAGTTTACATAATAAACGGCACTGCAGGTTTCCCAATATTGGCTCACACCTCAGAATTATAATACTAATAATAATACATGTTATTTATATAGCGCTTTTCCTGGTGCTCTAAGCGCTTCACAAACAAGTAAATAAAAAAAGTGAATAATGTGACCGCCCTGCCTTTATGGAACAATAAGAATGCTTAATAATCAGTACTGCGTTTGCCAAAAGTACGTTATTTCTCAATTAAGTAAAACAATTAAAAAAGAATAGTCTAAAAAAGGAGAATGTGAGAAAAGCACT